ATAAAACATAAAATGTAAGCTGAGGCTCTGATTTTACATTCAGACTTACATCACAGGCTTTAGAACATTTTTGGGGTAATTAAGGGGTATTTTTTGCCTCTTGAATACTAACAAATCATTAAGTCAGTTTGATCTACTTATGCTCAGGAAATTTGTTTATTAATATTTTAATACTATTCCTATGATGTGAAAGTATGGAATTGTTTTCTGTTTCATCTTAAAACATATATTTCCTTCAAATTTGAAATCAGAAACTTTGGAAATGGTTAGCAGATTTAATAATGTAGAAATTTATTAATGTAGATATATGGAAAATACTTTAAAAATATTTAATCCATTAAACTGGCTCTTCTTGTTTGTGTCAATTAAAACTAACCTACTACAATTTAATATTTTAGCACTTTATACCACCAAGATATTAAAATCCCAATAAGAAGTCTATCACCTTTTGTTTAAATATATACACTGTGTACACTTCACACAGGATAATCTTTCACTATTAAAAGCCATGTACTGCTCTTAATAAGGCCCTGTTCAGGTAAAGGACTTTGCAATTATAATAAAATGAGCTTCCGTGTAACTAATGACACAGTATGTATTGTTGTCAGATAATTAGAATAATCAGTAAATAAAACTTTGCCAAGAAGGAAATAAAAACAGGTGAGGGGGATGGGCCTCATTCATCACCTTGCTGACTAATGAGAATCTGAATGGAGATAGGCCAGGCCTGGCACATGCCTCAATATGTGCAATAAAAGCACACACTCTAGACAGTTCTTAACTTAATATAACCACCAGGCAAGTGGCAGTTCAGAAAAAACCACAACAGAACAAGTGATAAAACAGTACCTAGCTAAAACTAAGTCATTTATCAAGAAAGACAGAATAATTATTAGGAATGCCCACATTGTATGCTTTGTGATAGAAATGAATAATGGGAACATTAACTACATTATTTTAAATTAAGAACACACTTTAGAAAGTCCAAAATCTAATCTAAGTCTACTTTACACCAGGCTTGCATTCTACCTGGAAATATGGAAATGGGGAAATGCTTGATTTTACAAATCAAAGAGGTGACTTTTTCTGCAGTTAGAGAAAAAACTGCACAGGGCCTCTTGCTAATAGTAGTAACAAGATCAGACATCAATCTCTGACATTTTCACATTAGAGAAATTGAGTTATATCAAAATCTAATCTGTTAGAAAGGCAATGGTTCTCTTTTATCAGAGACATTACATATCCTAAGCATCTTCATTCTATAACTGTACAGGTGAAGTGGGCATATTTGCCTGGTTGACACTGTCTGTAACACCATGCCTATCAAATGACCACTTGCTATTAAATCACAATTTTAGTTAACTTATAACTTAATATGGATGCTCTTAAATTAAGAATTTATTATAGATTCAGCAGAAGAGAAAATTTAAAAATATTTTTTTCTGAACAGATTTTGGGACAGAGTTCCTAAGGTAGCATATGACACATTATTTAGGTTCTCTGTATATTTCAGTTTGCACAAATATGGAAGTCCAATTCCTCTTATTGGTATTTTGACTCCAAACATATAAACTTCCCCTGCTTGTTTTAAATTCAACCCAGTGAGCATTTATTATCTTTTACTGGAACAGACTACCTTACATTTGTCAATTACATGTGTGAATGTAAAATAAGACATATTAAGTATATATTCTACTTTATCAACTAGGCTGTGAATCCCCTGAGGGAAAGAACATGCCTGTTATCTTTTTGAGCAAAATGAAGAGAAAGAGAAAATCTTCCCAGGACTTAGAACAGAACTGTTATCATGCCAGGAACTCAAAGAAAGGCTTGTTTTTGACAAAGAAAAAGTAAAGATGTTAATTATCTTTAGAGAAAAAATCAGAACATTAGGGGTATGTGAACAAATAATACCAGGAAGTTCATATTTTTGTTGAAATACAGGTATTGGTAAAATCATAATGATTTTAAAAATTGAATATGATATTATAGCCAGTATATTCAGCGTCCCTCCTATCATCTTTCTTGCTGAGAGTCAAAGCCAGCTCACAGTGAATATATTTCTAGCCTAAAAAGTACCCTCCATGCCACCACCTTGGGCATCCTTCCACTAACATTTTCTTATTTGGGGAAGGTAATTAAGAACATATGATTTGGCCAGACATGTTTTCCCCTTCTCCTTTGAAACTTTTGCTAGTGACAGCTTTCAAAAGCTAGAAAAGACTCCCCCTCCTTCCCATTCCTAGGTCTTGACTGTGAAAACACAAAGATTCAGAGAAAATAGCATCTATGTACACTTGAAAAGTAATATTGTGGATAAATAGGAAATGTCATTTTACTTCCTTATAGGAAGGAGCTCAATATAATAAATCAGGCTTGCAGATAAAAGGAGACTGGATTATAAGAATATAGTTGATTGGACAAAGGGATAGGAAGGATTTTAGTGGGCTTTACTATTAACCTTGCCAATGCTCATTGTGTGAATTCGGGTAAGTCACTGCTATTTGGTAAACGTGAATAAAGGTGAATAAAACACATAATAAAAAATTCATTCAAGTTGCCAGGAAGATATCATATCAGCTGCCAAGGATTACCTAATTTTCTCTGGTTTAACTTGAAGACATCAGAGAATACATAAATGAAAATGACCATTATTTTTCACCATATAAAAATTTCCTGTAATCTTTGAAATTAATCATAAAGTCTTAAGTATTATAAAAAATTTTCACACCACAGTTCATATCTTGATAGGTACAGATATGAAAAATAATAAAGGATTTAGAATTTAATAGTTAATTATTCCTTATGTACTGAAAAAAATCTTCACAGTACACTAAAAAATAGATTTCGCTAAGGAACAATCCACTTGACTATTACAAATAAACACTAAGTAAAGTTAAATATACTTCAACATAATCCAGTTTCTTATCTCTATTTCAAGAGATGCCAGAACTAATAAAATATCAGCAACTTACAATAACTAACTCAACTTATACAAATAACTAGCCCACACCGTCTCTATTAGTTTTAGTAAGACTTTATCTGATTTCATTACCTTTCAGGAAGTAAGAGGAATTAGCTCCACAGAATCCTACATCAGGAACCTTGATTGATCATTACTCTAGGAATTCAAACCTGAGGTTCTCAGGTCCTAGGGGGCACCATGATGCTGTTAACTTTTGGAAATTGTGGACAAATCTGTATACTCAGGAAATTGTATTTTATGAGATGAGGTGTAGATTTCATTGGAATCTGAAAGTCTGTGAAGCCCACAAAAGAACTACCGAACGAGCCTACTTTCCAGTTTATAAATAAGACTGGAGAGTTTAAATGACTGCTCTGAAAACAGACCTCAAGTAGGTCTCTACCTAGAAGCAGGTCTCTTGGTAACCAATTAGTTTAATGTACTACTATACCCACATCATTTTTCTCAGAGGGCAGACAGGGGAAAAAGTGAGTTAACTGAGCAATGCTTTTGTTACCGGATCTTACCTTACATAAGAAAAGGGTATTCTGGTCAGAATGCTATCTATAAATACAGAGTCTGTTGATATGGAATGCAATAGAGAAGGTCTACATGAGCCAAATATAAAATGTATGGTTCTCCATATAAACACCAACTTGCCTCCAAGCCAAGCTCAGACTCTGTCCTACCTTAAGTAAGTTACTGTTACAAGCAAAACATGCAAAGATTTCAAGCTGATAAGAAAAAGCCTTATGAGCCCTATTCAGAAAAACAGACCCTGAGACATTATAGAGCAGAGAACTACATGAGTTTAATGAAGCCCAGTGGTGTGGAGACTCCCCATCCCTCTGCCTCAACATGCCCACCCTCCAGACAAACACACACTTATAGAAAGGCACAGGATGAATTAAAACAAAGCATGACCTTTCATGGATTTATTTATTAAAAAATAATCAGCAATTTCATAATTAACTTCAGGAAAGAATGTCACTAAAAATAATTAAGAATAAGTGTCCATTAATCCTGCCACACTACCCTGTTCATTTTTTTGGTGTTTCTAAGAAACCCATTTGTGTTTATGCATCGATGTATATGCATAAACATCTAAATACATATTACAGCTCTACCATTTACTTACTGTATGATGTAAGGCAAATTACTTAATCTCTCTGTGACTCCAGTTCCCTATGAATAAAATGGAGATAACAACAGTATTGACCTTACTGGGCTATTGTGAAACTTACATGTGGTAATAAGTGTAAAGAACCCACCATACTTTATGATAATAATAGTGGCAATCTTCACCATCATCCTTATAATCTCAAAGAGGCCCATAAGCCATTAATAATTCATGGAAAGGAAGAAATTAAGAATCTTAAATGACATGCTTAAACTATTGTGAAAACCCAAACAACTCCCTGGGAGAATACTAGAAAGTTGTTTAATTTAGGTTTCTTCTTGGGGCCATATTCTCATGGACTTGGCACACCAGGTTTCCCCACCCAAAGAGGATGAGAGGTTGGATTGATCTGGGTCAATGAATCAGCCCCCTTTCTTCCTTGCAATGGTGTGCAGGAAGGTCTCAGGTGCTCCAGCGTCAGTTTTACCAGCTCCTTTGTTTGGGGGAATCTGATTTCTCCCAGTGTTCTATCTCTGTAATATCCCCAGTAGCTAAATGCTCTTAGGAATTTGCTTTCTCTGAAGTGAAACAACTTCATGATGACTTAAAAGACAGTGGGATGCTACTGATATTTATGGAGAGAGACAGTATCACTGACGTGATCTTTCCATGAAATAGTGAAAACCTCAGATCATGTCTGGTTTACATGATCCTGTTGGGGCTATGCTCTACATGATGGACCCATCTGAGGCTATGGAACACTGAAAAGCTTATAGCTTCCAACACAAGGACAGAGTCCAGTGGGGTCAATTTGTCACTATAATCACACAAGTACTAATCCATCTAGAGTTTACTTATTAGTCCACAATCTCAACCATTTCCCCTTAAAATATGTTGTTGAAAATGAAGTTTTACCTTTTCATATTCAGCAATGCCCAAGGTATTCCAGAGGGAGTATGAAATGCAGGTAGCAATTTTACCCCAAGTTCCACTGCTTTCTTTCGAAAAATCTGAAAAGTTAAACAGTTAAGTAAGCTACTGTTGAAAGCAAAACAAAATGATCTATTATGTTTAGTACTTTTCTACTTCAAATATTGCTTATCTGAAAAAAAAAGAAAAGTTTCTCAAATTAATAAAATTACCTAGTACAAAAAATGATCCAGGGGCCTTCAAGCTGTAGGGTTCTTAGTCTTGGTTGCATATTAGAATCATGTGGAGGTCTCAACACAACTGATGTGTGGGCTCCATTCCCCAGATTTTCATTTTTATGGTCTGGGGCTCCTGGATGGGGATTCTAAAGCACATTTCAATGTGCGTATTAGAAGGAGAAGCACCATTGTCAAAGAGTAAGTACTGGACTGAGAACCAGGAGATCTGTTCCTATACCCAGTTCAGCATAGTTATTAATTAGGACATAGAGAAAGGAGAAGTTTTAGAAAGACGTACTATCACTAGTATGTATATGTTCTCTTAAGAGCTTGTAGCTTTAACTTTCTGTTAGGGGTAGGTAATATGGAAAATACATAGTTAAATTAGATACAGATTCTGCCTCAGTGTAGTAGGGAAGATAATATATGCACATAATTATCTAGAACAGATAAAATGAGAGCTGGAGATGCAATCTTATCTTGTTTAGATGAATTCAGCAAGGCTGTGTGGTGGAGATAACATTACATGAGGAGTGTATGCACCATTGAACTGGGTCCAATACTACTAGAGACTTGGAGAGACGAATAGGAAGAGAGAGCCTCCCTGTGGGATCAGTCTAAGCACAGAGGAAGGAAAGCAGAAGCCTGCAGAATAAATACGGACTAGTGCAGTGTGCCTGACCAAACAGGGGAATACTTGCAAATAAGGGTGGGCTTTACCCATAATGTGGGCCAAAATCATGGAGAGTCATGCTAAGAATTTTATTCTGTTTAAGTGGAAAAATAAGAAAAGTTTCTGAGCTGCCAATTCTATTGGACATTATTTTGCTGTATAAAAAAATGATCAGATCATAACCATTCAGAGTTTAAAGTCCGAAGAAAGGCATTACCTTGTTCACTGAAGGAAGGACTACCATAGCTCTCCCTGTGATAGCTGTGGTACCACGCAGGTGCACTCCTTAGTGAGCCTGGTAGGCTGAGAATTTAACGTTTTTTTCTGCCTTCTCTTCAAACAAGGGAGAAGTGAGAAAGATGGTAGGAGCCCTGAAGGGCATGGATGAAAAGGCCTTCTTCAGGTAATGAGAAAGACATGATTAAAGTGGTTGTCAAAGCATGCCTGTCTGCTCCAGAGGGCAGCACAGTTGTCCACAGCTCCTGCCCTAAGACCTGAGCCTCCCAATAGAGAAAACCCAAGATTTGAACTCTGTGAGGGTAATCCAGTAAAACCAACATTGAGGCTACTATCTAGACTTCAGGTTTTGGGAATCTAACTCTCATTTTGTAAGGAAAGTTAAGAAACAAATAATTTTAGTCTAAAACTTTGACAATCAATGTAAATAAACTTTGTACACAAATAAAGATGCACATATTTGTAATATATAGAAAGTGCTAAATATAAAATAAAGGTGCCATTCGCCTCACAAATTAGTATCGCTTCTCTTGTCAAAGTGGACAATTCCCTTTATCGTCAACTAATAGTGTTATGGGAGAAGAGGACAAAGAAAAATAGATCAAAGGGTACATTCTTCTTCCTTCCCTTTCTCTGCCTCATCCTAGAGAATTTCAGGGTGTCTTCTGCTGTAAGGATTTATCCAATCACTGTCCAGCCATCTGTTGACTTCCTGGTTTCTACCCAACTTTTTAAACTGTTAATTAACTCCTTTTCAAGACACTTACATAAGATAGAAGTTAAACTATGTAATTAAAACACCATTTTGGGTATTACCATATGGCATGAGAGTTAAGGACTCAAGCTTTGAAGGCACAATGCCTGTGTTTGAATCTTAGTTCCACTTCTTCAAACTGAGTAATCTTGGGCAAATTGTTTAATCTCTGTGCCTAAGTTTCTTCATCTGTAAAATGGAGATAATGATAACATTTTCTTTTTAAAGGTTATGGAAAGAAATAAATACTTTATTATATTTTAAAAACTTGGGACACCTAGTAATTATTCTAAAAGGTTATTTGTCATTTTTACGGTGATAATGATAATGGTATTTCCTCAAGAACTTTCTCTATTTACAGCCTGAAATTCCTTCTTGTATTGGCTTTATACAACTGCTGTTTTGGTGTGTTGGTGCATTCTCCCTACTCATGTGCTTATTATCTTTCTGACTCTGTTAATCCCCATCTTCCCCCGCCACCTACTCTTATCACCTTCCAGGTAAGTATTCGTTCCCAAGAGCTAAGCCCTCAGTTTTCATCACCTATTTATATTCCCAGATTCAACTTTCCACTTTTGCTCTAGTTCTGCATGGATCATTTAATATCCCAGAAAACATCCCTAGTTCTATCACTGATAATTGTTCAGTTTCTTAGACTCAAGAGCTGGCATTTTGACATTTGACTTATTGCCCTTCAGTAACTAAGTGTCATCACCAACTCCTTCGTGTCTTGTGTACAGCATACTCTCTGAGATGAGCAAAAGGCCATGTTCTCATCACCAGAAACAATGAAACACAAGAAAAAAAGCTTCTCTTACCCAGCCTCTCAGGATTCTTCCTCTAGTTTTAGTTAACTTTTATCTAATAGTACAAATGTTCTCCTTTTTACCATACTACTTTCTTGTTCAAGAAACTGTAATGATTCCCTTTGTTGTCAAAAGTGCTCTACTGATCTTTCAACACTTCCTATGAACTTTCTGTTCCCGTGGAGAGTGCTCTTGAGACTTCCTGGTTTCAAGCATCCTTTCAAATTCAGTCCACCTTATCATCTTTATTTACACAGTCCTCTCATTGTGAAACACCCTTTACTGCCTCCTTTTGGTCAATCCAAATTTGTCCATTCATCAAGGGTCGGGTCAATTTTTATATCCGGCCAAGATCTTTGGATTCTGGGAACTCTCACATCGACAGCTGGCATCACAAGGCAGGATTTGAAAACCTTCAAACGCTGATCTCTAAATGTTTTCATATGTTACTCTCTTGTGTCCCCCCTGATAATTTTCCTTTCTTTCTCAAAGTACAGAAAAAGACCTCAACTTCTCCCTTATTGACTATTAGACATAGATAGCCAACCGAGATTAAAATTTACATCTATTGATATCACCACAGTGTTCCGAGTGGTAGGTAGGAAGAGACTTGTATTGTCAATGAGCAGATAGGGCCACTTCTCAGGAGTGTTGCCCTTGCTGTCTCCTCTGGCTGCAAGGCTCTTTGCATGCCTGGCTCATTCTTATCTTCAAGACCCCTTTTAAGAGAGCTCTTTTCCTAACAACTCACAAAGTTGGCATCCTTATTTATGTCCTAGCACATCAGCCCATTCACTTCTGTTCCATTATTTATCACCTCCTAATTATCTTATTTGCATACTTGTTTTACTGTTTGACAACCCACTAGATACCAACAAGATGAGGGCATACACTTTTCCTTGTTCATTGCTATATATGTACCCAGTATTCAGTAAAACAGTATCTGGTACTCCATAAACATTTATATAATAAATAAATGTATCCATCAAAGATTGATTAATATGCTTGGGCCAGTGTTCTGAGAAGCCATTGGTCTTATAGTGTTTGCAAAGTGCTCCATCCTACTCTACTAGCTGCTGTTGTCTAAAAATAATTATTTCAAGAATTCTGGAATCTCAACATTGGGCATCATTACAGGACAATTACCAAGATAATTTTGGATACAAATTCTAAATATTCCATTGATGCTTTAAATAAAATCATATATGAACCTCTATCAGTTTCAATTCTTAATGTTTGATTTGTTATCTCCTCCTGAGATTTGAAGAGACTTTACCTGGAGGAGTAATCCAGATTCTAAAAGAGAACATCTTTCTACCTAAAATAATGTGTGTGTAATAAAACTAACTTGTAGAATTAATATTGTTAAAAGAATGAAGGTGACATGTCACAAATCATTCTAAAGGGCAATTAAGTTTTAACTAGCACATCTTGGATGATGTGCTGAAAAGCAAATTATTATAAAAAGCACACTAAATGGCACTTCAGTGCTCCTTCCAAGGGGCTGGGGATGATGGAGAAGACAGAGGGATGGGACTAAGGACCTTGATCTCAGATCTGAGCCTATTTCTGCTTCTATGTTAGGCCTGGTGGAAGCTTAATTTTTCTGGTTCTGTTTCCCTAGTACAAAGAAAAATCAGGGCTGATCATTTCTACTTTTGATTTATCACTGGAAAAACTAGTATACAGGGGTCACAAAACTAATTAAAGTGTATTTGGAAAAAAAAGCACTATTCATATAATTTTTAAAAAGGCAAATATTAATTTACCACCCAAATAATAGTCAATTTTGGTCTCCAAAGTTTGTTGGTACCTTCATCTGGTGGGATAGATTTTATGTTAAGAGGGCAAGATGAAAAATGGCAGTTCATAAAATGTAATCCCTGCTTATAATAGAAGATATTTTCTTCCTTTTTTTTTAAAAAAAAGTATTAAAATAAAATGGGGCTTTTGTATATGTAATTAGCAACCAGTTTGAGATGGACAGATATGATCCAACAAGAATCTCCAAGAATATTTTGCATGATAGAGATTCTGATTACATTGACAGCAAAAGTCAAAACTAATATAGTTTGCTGAAAGAAGGGTGGTAAGATATGATGAAATAGCTCCTAAAATAACATTTCAAGCATGTAACTAACAAGTAGCTTTGAATAGGAACTTTTATGGTCAAAAGTTAAGAATTTCAAAATAACCACATCAACATTATATCTTTTCATTACACTTAAGTAACATCATCACAATCTTATTGCTGTTTTTCTTCAATGTTTTAAAAACTTCAAAATTTAAAATCTGTCAAACAGAAACATTTATCTTCTTACTTTATCCTTACAGATAGGATTGGACAAGGCTGTAAACAAGATGTATGGCTTTCTTTGTCTTTCTAGTTTAC